TTGAATTTGTAGTAGTCTACTTGTTGTCAACAGGAGACGAGRTCTTCAAAAAGGTCCTTACATATCATTGCTTTGTGTTTTGAATTATTTGAAAAATCCTGGGCTTTCGTGATGAAAAAGTGGCACCAAACCTGGTTTATGGAACCACCCTAACCTAAAGTAGTGGCCTTGATACCGACTCGTACCCAGTCGTTACTCTTTTTATTCGTGCTTCCCTCGAATAGGCTTCACGCTTCCCATTCCCATGATCCGTTGCGAGGCGCAAAGAAAGCAAAAGAAGCGACTGGGTACGAGTCTGGCCTTGGTGATGATATGAACGACATATTTCTTCATCAACAGGTGTCTTCAAAGAAAAMTTGACTCTGAAGGGTTTCGCGTCGAACTTTTCTTTTTAATCTGAGAAAATCATATCCAAAGGTCTTCTCTAAGGACGTTTTCTTACTATGGCAGGCTTATAATATGGCTTCGGTACTTGCCTCCGTTCTTGGTTCATMTTACATATTGATTACTCTTAAAGGGACATGGTCCACCAGCATCCCTTTCGAGCTTTTGTTTATGTTTGAAAATAGAAATACATCGTAATATTAAAAAAACTTACTCTTTATTATTCCTTTATCCTATATGAATGAAGTTGCTTTAAGATTCGACCGTTAAACCGATAGATGGAAACGGATTGCAAATGGATATTCTCATTTTCCATATATGAAAAATCTAAAACACGACCGCATTGCATGCTAGTGGACCATGTCCCTTTAAAATTCAAGTTCAGACGGGAATAGCCTCGTTCCTAGTATTGAAAACAATAAATAAACAACCAATTTACATAGACTCTAGGCTATTCTCGCCTATACTGGAGTTTTAAGAATTGTCAATAATATATACGGASTAGTTTCCATAGCTCATAAAGCGATACTCAGTGTTTATCAGCAAGCTCATTCTTATRTTAATGTGCCAACCATGATCAGAATGGCTTTTGAAAAGTCGATTTTTTCTRACAKSCAATCRTCTTCTGGTTGGCACAKGAATAACAAWGGCTTACGTCACATTGAGTATCGTTATAACTATTATATAAAGCGCTCATTGATTGGCTGAACTGTGCTAAAAAGAGCCTGGAAACAAGGCTTTCAAGCGAATAATYGTTATTTTATGAATGCATTAGAAGTTTCCATTCTCTGTTAGAAACACTTSGGATTGTTGGGAGAAAACTCGAAAAGGTTYTGAATCACTCKAAATATTTCTCGTGTTCTCCCAACAACCCTGCGTGATTCTAGGAGAGCAATGAAACTCGGAAAATATCTTTTAAAGATGAAACAGTACAATAATTACATGTAGATATATTTAAGATTTCCAATATGTATTTTTATACCAGATGTAAATAATATTATACTGAAACTAATATATAAATTTATGCGATATTTAATAAATATTAATTTATATTTTTAATGTTTATCATGCGTGTATGTTTTTCATTTAGTTTTATTTTTTAAAGTCATTAAACCCGTGAAACAAAACTTAACTATTGGAGTGTGATAGTCAAATGACACAAAAGAAAACAATGCAATTTTAGAGTACTAAGGTGTATAGTTTAATATCTATTTTACGGGTTTTTGTTTAGCTCACTCTAGAGTGGTTTTCATAAACCCGTGAAACAAAGTGTAATAATTAGATTGTAATAGATCGTAATAGTCGCGTAGAGACAATAAAAAAACAAAAGAGCCAAAGTGTAATAGCGATGAATACGCTAAAGTGTTTCACGGGTTAATAAAAACCACTCTAATACATTTAGCAAAAATATCCGAGTGCTAGAATTAAGTAAAAAACCCGTGAAATAGATACAACACTATAATACACCTTAGCACGCTCTTATACACCTCTGAAGCTTTTAAGTTATGTACCGTATACGCAATGCATCTGATTGTAGGATATGTCTGGGACAAAACATGGCGGATTTCTTTTGTTTTCTCTATGAGGTAGAAACTGATCCCACAATGCATTGAAAGTCAAGTAGTGAYGTAAAAAGTTCAGAGGTYTAWTRCATTGTTTTCTTTTATGYCCATTTGACACAACCCACCGCYGTACMTTGYGAGCCGAAGCGCCATTTTTGGTGGACACGAAAATGGCSGATTMGTAGGATTTCTTAACRTGAGCGCGAATCGTCTTCCATCCTTTCAGTTTGGACAGAAATACCTTTAACTAAGTACCTCACAGGTAGAGTGATCGCTCTTAAAGCGTGCAACTGTACAAAATCTAAGTAGTTCTAATTTGTACTAAAAGTGGACCTGAAGCAAGACGGTATTGAATGCTTCATTTGTATCAACTCAATTTAATTTGCGTACTGCGTGCACGATTTACTAAATACACTAGATAACTATTTAGTTTCTAAAGTTGCACGGATTAAGTGCGATCGATCTACTATCAATCTATAATCTATTGTATGCTTGACGCATTTAAACGTATGTAAACAATAACACGAGCGCGCGCTGCATTGTGGTTGGTTTGGATTCCTTTTTTTTTTATTTCTATTAAAGGGTTCAAAGTTTGTTTCATGGGTTGATTGACTTCCCCTAATACAAAAGGGTATCTTTAGACATTGCACGTTTAGAGTACAAACACTAAATGTGTGCAACACTTTCCACTATTTACTACAAAACAGTGTTAATTAAACAATAGAAAACAATAGAATTAGCATAATTTTATCAGTATATCAGTATTTAGTGGTATTTATGTTGCACAGTTCTAGTGTTTGCACTCTAACGCGTGACAGTTCATTTCAAACAGGAAAAGCAATCCTGATACGATCTACTCCTACTTTTGGTCTAAAAGAATTGCAAACAGTAAAAGGGTGGTAGAGTGGGCGCATTGACAGCGAAAGTAGTTTTATCGCGACTTCGTTCTSAAGCCCTCTTTTTTTCGTAAATTCGTTCAGTCATTAATTTTGTGATTATCTCTGCAAAGTAATAAACATATGTACCTATTTCAAAAAAGTTGTGCGAGCAAATCAAGCGAATAATAATTGTCGAGCGAAAATAGAACTCTGAAGCTTTTACGTCATGTACCGTATACGCAATGCATTGTAGGACATGTTTGGGACAAAACATGGCGGATTTCTTTTGTTTTCTCTAGAAACTGATCCCACAATGCATTGAAAATCAAGTAGTGACGTAAAAGGTTCAGAAATCTATTGCATGACCGAAACGGGCTATGTTTTTTTTTCTTATTCTAATTGATGGGAAATAACTGAYTTATACCGTGWGTGTCAACTCCATTTAGTCTCCATTTTCACCCAAGATGAACTCAACTTTAAAACTGAATTTTTCACATCGGACAGTGTACGTGACCATAGTCTATTTCTGTGACGCATCGCCGTTCGATCGCTATTCTCCCCGACGTGTTTTTATGATAGSTGTTTTCATTGTTACCTCAAAAGCGTCATTGGAGGCTTGCATCAGTTGAGGACCTTTGTTCGAATTAATCCTTGATGACGTTAAACAGTTGGCGTCTATTATTTCACTTTGTGAAGAACACGGCATCAAATAGTTTGTCTTCTTTGTWGTTCAGGCGGATACCAATCACAAACTGCATTGTAGTACATTCAAGCGAACGGGGATGAAGATAACATGAGCGGAAGTAGGTTATTTGTAATGCAGCTCAATAGAATGAGATGTTTTCTTTATCTTTTGTTTCTATATCACCTTTGCTGTGGCGGAGGCCAATAAGACACTACACCATGAGTATATTTATACATTCAAGTGAACGGAGGTGAACYTATAGCCATCACGAGGCAGCTTATTTTTGATAAAGTTCAATAGAATTCATAGGAATGTCAGTTTAGATTAAATTTGTTTTGAAGTCATCTTTGTTGTGGAGGCGGATACCAATAAAATACATTGAAAGAGAACGGAGGTGAACAAAATAACACTAAAAAAGATTCACGAAATAACATTTATAGTTTCGGATTCAATAAATATCGCGCTCGCCGGATTTTTTTATCAGACAAATTTAAAGGTAGACTAAGAAAACAAGTGTACGGGCAGCATTCTACCTCACGAGGGCGTAAGCTAGACATGAGTACAAAGCCTTGAAAATAGGAATTATCCTTAATGTACTCTTTGAGTATCAGCATTTTTTCCTTTCTTTCTTTTAGATTAAAACTAAGAGTGGAAATCATAAAAAAACTGTACATGTGGAAACATTTAAATTAATGGCGGCAAACCATTAAGCTTACTCAATAAAAATAGCAATTTTCATAGCATAAAGTGAAATCTTGTAATTCGGTTGGCTTAGAGGAGTCGTACATYCTGCAATTTGATTGGCTAAGAAAAACGCTATTTCTCGTAACTAAGTATTGTTATCTAACTTATCTCAAACTCACCATGGCAACCATTTAATTGTCCATCAAATGAACAACATGATGAAATTGCGGAATTTTATTAAATCATGTAATAAGTAAAAATTAGAGAAATAATCCTGAATTTGTAATAATTCTCATAATGTCTTTCATGTTTCAAAGAGTCGGCAAATATTCTGACGACGTTTCGCGCGAAATATGACATAATGTCGTTAAGCCTTAAATTAGCAATAATTAAAACTGTTCTGAATTTTATAATCTGTTATTACAAAGAAAAAGGAAAGAAGAAAGAAATTATAAAAAAAACACCAACGCATTTATTTCAAGTAGTCTCTAAGATTGTTTTTTAAGACAATTACAAATTAAGTTTTATAATAATTTAATTGGGTTACTATACGAAAACCCCGAATAGATCAGTTGCTTGAACTCTTGTTAGCTACCAAAATAGTGTCTTTTTGCGTTTAGTTTATATATAAAATTTTTTTTAACATTGAGTTTTCTAACCTTCATTAGTGAAATGAAACAAAGTTAATAAAAAACTGTGTAAATTAAAGAAAATTACTATATTTTTTTTAAATGCACTTTATTTAACACATTAACATTATTTCGAAATTATTATAGAATTCTTATCATTCAGCTCATATAAAAAACGGATCTGTAGTAATACTGCACTAATTCCACAATGTCAACACTTTAAACATTTTCCATTAGCTATTTTCTTAATGYCAGCAGTAATTCCAAGAAAACAAATATTGTCTTACGTGCAATGAATCTAGGGCAAAGCTGTCTCCATGTAAGTGTCAGGCTCTCTTTGTTTTTCGCTATTTTCGGGCATTTKTAGTTAATTTGTCATGAAAAGACTCTCGGAGGCTCGGCATTTCTGCTATTGAACTTCACAGCCAGGGTATTTATCCTATCTTTGTGACGAAGTTAAATAGAAAATTGTTTCTATAACASTAAACTGTAGCCAGAATAACAGGTGCACTGGCGTTTCGATGTTGAAAATTTGCATATTTTATCGCTCGCCGTTTCACTTTACTTAGTATACGAGCGGTCACACAGTAAACAGCTCTCAAAAAGCTCATGTTATAATCTTAACTTCACATCGCTAGCCTTCACGGGTCTTAACGAGGATTTGGCGAATACTTAGCTTTGAATTATGGCGTATCAGAGAACGGAATATGCGGATAAGACTTTGTCGATGAATTCTCTTGCTGATCGCAAACTTCGTATAAAACTTGGTTCAATCGATTCACACAAAGAAACCATTGAAAAGGAAATGAAAAGAGAACGCAAAAAACTTGAACGAGAACTCGGTGGAATGGATGAACAGCGGACTAGACTAACGGTGTCTGATATTGGAGATACTACGAACCGAAGTCCTCGTTTCACGAGGCGATATAGCACACCGCCTGAATTACTTTCTGCAACTCTTCCRCCTTCATTAAGCGATCCAAAGAGATCTCCGTTAACTACTCGAAGACGACTTGGTTCTGATGGTGTGTCTGAGCGTCTGCATAATAACACCCCTTCACCGATCTCACCAACATCCATGATGTTTCTAAAAGCTCCATTTGATCAGCCCAGAAGACAATCTTTGCCTCCAATTGGAGACGGAGGGCTGTTAAGTGCAGAAAATTGTTCTCGACGTGATCGTAGGGGTAGCCATACTGGAGGGACAAGAAGTCCTTTATTGACCAGTCCCACTACGTCAGGTACATCTACACCGAGGAGTCTTTCTCGAAAAGGTAGTTCCTTAAACGAACATGAGATGAGCGAGGTAACGGCAAAAGTGAGTCGCTTTTTGCAGAAAATCGACAACAACAAAGAACAAATCGATGAGAAAAAGAAAAATGCCCAGAATGATGTATGCGAAATGAACAAAAATGAGGAGRAATTTGATCGTTGTCAGATGGAAGAATTACAAAAGTTATCTATTAGTAAAACTCAAGGAGTTTTTCAACCTTTAAACTTTGAATAAATTTCAGCATAAGTTTCTTAATAGCTTTAAAAAACAAATTTGTGAAACCCCGTTGAGTACACCAGCTCAAAAAGGCTTATACAAGACCCATATTTGGAGCACTGGTCATCTTAATTTTAAGTTGTTCTAATCTAATAGCGATAAGTTGTCAGTATTGAAGCGCAACGGTGCACAGTATTCCGTGAGAGACACCAACATATATAATTTTATTGACGCAGTTATACTATAATTCAAGCTCAAGACGCTGCGTTCAATGAGTGTAATTAAAGAGTCAGTTTTGAAGTACAGGAAAATCACAAAGTCGTTTATGAAATCTGTTCTTATTTCAAAGATAAAATACAAAGAAAATAACGCACGAATGTCGTGTATTGTGATTTCATTGTTTTTTTCTAAAGATTGACAGCAGAGTCAACAGTAGCTCGGTAATATTTCATTTTAAAATGACATATTTAGTACTAAAAGCCTTTCAAAAGACATCCATGTTCGATCATTATTCGGCTTCAAAAGCGGTAATATGCTATTCCAGTATTTTCCATATCAAGAGGTCTTTTCATAAACACTTTTAAAAAAGCGCTTCGATAAAATAATATTTGTTTTCGAATTGTAAATATAATGAATTCGCTTTGAAACGATGTCGAAGTCGTTTGTTTTTGTGAGAAATAAAAGTGTTTAATCTTCTTTCTAATTTACTATAGGTCATGGAAAATCTCCAACTAATTACATAAAACTCAAACGCATACATTTATAATAACCTCGGTCTTTGATATATATCAAAAAAACCGCCTTGGCTAGAGTCGGAAACTTTCCATTAGCTAGTAYGTGTTAGCAATATTACTTATGCCTATAAATTTCAAAACCACTCTAAAATGGTCCCAAAACAACAATTAAGATTTTTWAAGTCAATTTGAACGCGAATTTCTATTGGTTCAGGGCCTTTCGTGATAATTTGAACTTGATATCTTGCTTTATAGATGAAAGATTATTATTCAAATAAATGTTCTTGTACTGCTAGTGTATTGCGCGTGACCACGTTACCTATATATAAAAGGGTCCAGAGGGCCCTCTTCTCTTGTCTAGACGTAACT